AATAGATGAGGTACAGAGTAATCACAGGATGAGTTAAGGTATTTATTATAGAGAAGTGATAGTTCTTCAATAGACGTTTGATTAAAAAGTCATCTGCGATTGTATACGGGCCTCTCTATGCTTTGGAAGGCTGTTAATTATTGGTTTGATTTCTTTCACAGATACAGGTCTATTCAGATTGCTTCTTCACATAAGTTTTGGCAGCTTCTATTTTTCAAGAAAATGGTGTGTTCCATTAAGGTTACCATACTTACAGGCTCAGTCATTTATGATCCTCCTTGATTACACTCTGGCTATCCGTGAGCTCTAGTGACGTTCCTTTTATAATGAGATTCCTTTTATAATCTTCCCATCCCAACTATTTTTAGTTATGTGCTGCTGTGTGCACACACATCCGTGCACACATACCACACGGCATGTGTATCCATGTCAGGACAGTTTGAAGGAGTCAGTTTTTTTCTCCCATGTGGGCCCAGGGGACCTCTAAACGTGGGTCATCAAACGTGTGAGCAAGTACCTCTACTAACTGAGCCATCTTGCCAGCCCTAGCTGCGTCATTGCTTTGTCAAAGAACAAGATTGTGGCGTTCTATTGATTTCCGGCTTTCCGATCTTAATTTTCGCTCTTGTTTTTTTTTTTTTATCTGAATTCTACTTACTGGAGATGTACTTTGTGCTTCCTTTTCTAGCTTCTCGGGGTAGAAACTCTTTGGATACCTCCTTTTCTAAAACATGCGCCTCATGCTACAAATGTCTCGGAGAGCAGTGTTTGTTACGTCTCACAATTTCCAATAAGTTACATATATTTTGTGTTTAGTTTGAGGTTTTTGCTTCCAATACATGCTTTGTTTATTTTGAGACAGGTTCTCATACGGCCCACCCTGGTTTCAAACTCACTATAGAGTTGAGGATGACCTTGAATTCCTGATCCTTGCAAGTGCTTGAACGAATTATGGACATGCACCACAATGCCGGCACTCTTGTTTTAACAGTACACTTTTCCTCCTTCTCCTCCTCTTCCTCCTCTTCTTCCTCCTTATTTTCCTCCTCTTCCTCTTCTGCCTTCTCCCCTTCCTCCTGACAAGGTCTTATGAATGTAGCTCAAGATAGCCTTGAACTCAGAATCCTCTCGCCCCAGCCTCCAGAATTCTGGAATTATGGGTGTACATCACCATACCTGACCCCACATGCTGTTTAAAAGTCTATTATTTAATAATATTTAAAACTCTTTTTAATCTTCCAGCTCTCTGTTACAGGCTTCTAGTTTCATTCACTCATTATCTCAGAGTAGACACTGTATGGTTTGTATGTCTTCCAAGTATTGAGGTTTCACAGAATGTATTAAAATGTGGTTAGTGGGTTTATATTGGACAGGACCCCATATCCCACAACCCTGGCTTTGGGATTCTGTGGCCTGCTTTTCCCTGTGGGCCTCTGCCATCCTAACTCAGCATCCAGAGAGTAATCACAAACTCAGATGCCTGAAGGGAGTTAGAGACTTGGGAAGAATAAAGCAGTGGGTGCCTGTCCCCGGCAGGAAGCCAGCAGCCTCTGAGGGAGGGCTTGCAGCCAAAAGACAAATCCCAGCAGTGAGGCAGCCTGGGGACAGCCTCAGAGCCTGTGACTCTGCCTTTCAGGCAGCAGAGGCCAGAAGACCAAGAGACCCTCATCGACACTGAGAAGGTACAGACCACTAGGCTGGAGGAGGGTCCTTAGTGTAACCTGAGTTGGGGATTCACACCCCATGCCTGCTACAGAAGCCCCTTCCTATGTGGATTCAGCCTGGCCCCAAGGATCCTGGGAGGAGGAGGTGGACCTGCTCACCCACAGTCCTTGTCCCCTAGGCCCCCTGGAGTCTATACCCTTCAGTTGACCAGGCTTTCTTGCCTTCTCCCTGCCCCTAAGGCCTCCACAGAAGCCTCGGAATATCCTCACAGGAGATGCATTCGAGGAGCAGGCTGGCAGGGTGCAAAAGGGGCGGATGCAGCTGCAGACAGGCCAGCTGTCCCAGCCAGAACTAGGAGCAGCCACGAGCACTAAAGAGGAGGCCTTACTGAGGTCAAGAGATTTCAAGAATCCTTCTGAAGCTACCCATGCATATTGGTCAGGGCCAGACGACAGATCTCAAAGGTGATAGCAGGAACAGGAGGAGGTCGGGTCTGGGGTGTGCTGGTTTGGGGGGCAATGCCTGCCTGGCCCTGGAATATCTTTGCAATAGGTATTACATGTCTAACTTCTTTCTCCGGAGCAGCTCAACGGATGATAGCTTGCTACCCCTGACACCCCGGCAGCTGGCAGGTAAGGAGTCGAGGTCCAGGAGTAGAGAGAAGAATGGGAGGATGCTCATGGCAGAATCACAGTGGCGTGCCCTGAGGTTTACATATTTAAGACCCTTGCCACCTTCCCTCCTCGGCAGCCTAAGTCTTTAAACATGTAGCTGTCACTTTGCTGACCAGCCCTCTCCACCCTCAGCCTTCCAGGATATCTTCAAACTGTTCAGCTGCAGCCCGACAGGCACTGTGGACATGCATAGCATGAAGGTTGCCCTGCGCAATGTGGGTATCCAGCTGGGCCCACAGGAGATGTGCGAGGCTCTGCGGCTGGCTGACTTAGATGGTAGGTGCCCCATCTCTGCCTTCTTGTGTTCTCCCATCTCTAGGTGGTCTCGGTCTCTCTCTCTCTCTCTCTCTCTCTCTCTCTCTCTCTCTCTCTCTCTCCCTCTCTTTCTCTCTCTCTTTTTCTTCCCCTGCCCATTTGGTTTTTCGAGACAGGGTTTCTCTGTGTAGCCCTGGCTGTCCTGGAACTCACTCTGTAGACCAGGCTGGCCTCGAACTCAGAAATCTACCTGCCTCTGCCTCCCAAGTGCTGGGATTAAAGGCGTGCACCATCACTGCCTGGCTTCTAGGCAGTCTCTTAATGAATGCTACCCCTATCTACAAAATCCTTGGCCCAGTTCTGTTTTTTAAAGTTCCCTCTTCCAGGAAGCCTGTCTAGAGCAGCACCCCAAACTCTGGGCCTTCATACTGAGTCAATTCTCATCCCCCACCGCAGGGGCAAGAGCCTTTCTACAAAAGGCTGCTAATAAATGATCTCAGTACTTTATGGAAAAAATATAAAGGGATGAATGGTTTAGGGGGGTTATGATGATGGTGAAAATGCCAACTAATTCTCAATGTGTATTTAAACCCCTAAAGTATCTACAAGGCAAACTTTCCAAGGAGGGCAAGTTCCCACTGCCTCTCCTTGTCTTCCCAGGTGATGGAATCGTAAGCTTCAAGGACTTCCTAGGTGTCCTCACTGACAACGACCGTCTGGCACAGTGCATGGGTGAGGGAAGGGTTAAGCTGATGAGCACGGGGGAAGTCTTGAATGAGGACACCCCTCTTAACCTCTGCCCTGTGTTTGCTATACACAGGTCAAATGAAGGGCAATCGGGTCTGTGAGCCCCCGGGCCTGCAGACCCTGTTCCTCGAGGTGCTGTTCAAACTACTTAGTCAAGGCTTTGTGCCCGCCAAATCAAGGCAGGAGGTGACAAGGTGGGCACAGCCATCCTCGGCTTCCAGACCTGGGATTCAGAGAACAGAACGGGGGGGGGGGGGGCGTCCTGCCTCCAGAGAATGTTCTGACCTCCGGTTCCATTTCCTGGACCCCAGACCATCCCTTAGCCAAAGAAAGACAAATAGCCTCCGGTCCTGCTTAGGTTTCCCCACCTGTAAGATGGAGGAGAGCAAGGAAGCGCCGTCTGAGCCCGCTGTCCCACTTTTCTCCCCCAAGCTACTATTTCAAGAAGCAGCGGGCCCTGCGGCTGAGCTCGTGCGCTCGGAACCGGGCGCGCGGCCAGGGCCGGCCTGCGCGTGCGCACACGGGCCTCACCTTCTTCTGCCAGGCTGCGCGCCTCAATGGTCTCTCCAGTTCTCAGCTGGCGCGCTCCCTGCACACACTGTGCAGAGCAGGTGCGCCCCAGGCCGGCCCACGGGCTGGCGGGTGGGGAGGTCCCAGGCACGAGGCGGGACCCCGCGGGAGGGGGATGCTCCGGGTCATCCGTAGCCAGGCCACCGCCATCTCCTGCTCCCGAGCCCAGTACTGTCCCCGCCTCTTCCTCCTCTGGGATCCCGCCCCAGGTGGGCGCAGTCCCTACACTCAGATTCCCAACCTCGCGGGGCGCCCGAGGCCAGAACGCAAGACTCGAGCTCCAGGGCCCGACGTCCGCCTCCCCAAGCCTCAACAACCAGGCCGCCCCAAGCTCCCTCCCAACCTTGGGCCACTCAACAAAGGTGAGAATCCGCAGATACTCTTAAGGACAGGGCAGATGGGGCGGAGGCGGGACAGCAGATGGGGCGTGATTGGCAGGCTGAGGCTGGGGTTAGAGTGGGACCTGAGCCAAAAGAAATGGGGAGCGCAGGAGCCCCAGGAGGTACACCCAGGTGTTGCTGACCGCGCACCGCGTCCCTAAGGAATCGCCCTCTCGACTTTACGCAGGTCCCCTCCGCCCTCCCGCCGGGCTAATGAGCCAGCCGCTGGAGCAAATGCGCCCCTCGAAGCTGGCTTCCTCCCCGCCAACTCTAGTGCAGAAGCACCCCTCCTCCCCTTCGCCAGCCTGTTTCCAGAGATGTACTATGAAGAGCTTGTACAAGTAAACCGTTTGCTGAGCGAAACTGGCTGCGCCTGGTGGGATCAGGCACCGAGCCGACGCGCGTCTTTTGCAAACATCTTTATTAATCTTGTATAAAAATAAGGTCCATGGAGAGTCCTCCGAGCTAGGGTGGCGGCGAGGTGCACTTTATAAGTTACAGGCCAGGCTCCCGCTCAGGCTAAATATGGCTATTGGAGGGACAGGGTGCTACGATCAGCTTTTTTCTTTTTTTGGGGGGGGGGGGAGGGGCGTGTATTCAAGGCTAGTAATCGGCAGGAGGAGCGGATGCCCGACCCAGCCGAGCTAAGGATCACCTTCTTTGAGCTCCAGCCTGCCTACGACCCTATAGAATCCACCAGCAGGAACACTGGCTACAGCGAGAGGTCAACAGTGACCGGCAGTGGGGGTCCAGGGGGCCGCCGGCGAGCACTTCGGCGTCCTGTGTCTGCACGGATGTACGGCTGGTTCCGAAGATCTGGCAGGCAAAGGAGAAACATTGGCCCAGGCTTCAGGGCACAGGCTCATCTTTCTAAGGACTTGATTTTGTACACGTGGAAGGGGACACTGATTTACCACAGCCAGAAACAGCACCCTCTAAAACATCCCAACCATGTAGTGGCCCAGGATGGGGAGGCTGCCCGCCCTCCTAAATTCCCAGAGTTTCACCAGCACTGGAATCACGGCCCAGGTTATCTAGGTACCTGGGAGCTAGAGGGTCATCTCCTCTCCCAGGCTGGCCTCACAGAGGAGCCGGGATGTCCGCTTGCCGGTGCGGGCAGTGAAGGGCACTGTCTTGAGGACTGAGGTTTTGGGGATAGGAGGCAGAGAGAGAGAAAAAAGAAAAAAAAACAGAAAAGGTAGCAAGAGTTATGCAGAACAGGCATGGTGGCCCATGCCTTTAATCCCAGCACTGCAGGGGCAGAGGCAAGAAAATCTCTGTGAGTTTGAGACCAGCCTGGTCTACACAGCAAGTTCCAGGCAAGCCAGGGCTTCACAATGAGACTGAAGGTGGGAGGAGGCAGCAGACCCCTCAGAGTGGGGAGAAATGCAGGAAGAGAAGGACATAGTAGAGACTAGAAACAGACACAGGACAGTGACCTGACTAAGCTCTCACCTGTGATGATGTCTTCAATGGCCCCGTCTCGGTCACTCTCATAGATGAGGGGCTCTTTCTGCTGCTTCCGTTTTAGCTCAGAGATGAGGTCCATCTGTTGTCGCCTGGCCTTGGGTGGAGACTGAGGAGATGAACAACCGTAACTTTAGGATACTTATCACCCCACCCACTCTGGAACATCTGTGTAGTTCTTCACAGCAAGGATAGCCAGCTAAGGCAGAAGGAACCTAAACCTACTTCCTCCCCTGGCTTCTAGGGCACTGTCCTTGAGCTTGGGCAAAATCTGTCACAACACTGAGGGTGTAGGGGTGAGACAAGAGGGTGAAAGGGATGCTACAAGTTCCTGAATCCCAGTCCCGGGCCTGGGACCAGCCGCCTACCTTGGGTGCTGGAGGCTCTTCCCTGCCTGAGGTATCAGCCGCTGCTTCCTTCTTCCACTGTTCTACCTCCTGTTCTGCTTTCTGAGGGCCCAAGGCAGGTCTTGGTGAGAACAACCCTCCTTCCCGGTCTTCCCCTATAGAAGCTGCCTCACTGGTCTCAGGCAGTGGCTGCAGAGCCCCCACCCCACCTATCAGATACTTGTACCTTGTAGGCTTTGGTGAAGCGACTGAAGAGGGAAAAAAACATGGAGGGAGATGTGGTCTTGGGATTTTCTCCAAAGTACTCCACCACAGACTCGTAGGCCTCCTGAAAGCACAACCCATCAGCCCTGCTAGACTCTGTGCCTCCTTGGGATAGCACATCTCTGTTCTTCCACACAGGATGGTCCCTTAACTGTTCATCCCAGACTTCTGCCCATAGCCACACGCCTCCAGGTCTTTGCTCCAACCCATCCCCCACCCCCACCCTAAGGCTTCAGTGGCTGGTGTTCTGTGTTCCCCAGCTCACCTGAGCCGTCTTGCTGTCTGCCAGCAGCTTGTCCATGGTGGGAGAGTTGACTTTCAGGAACTCCTTGAGCACCAGGCAGTCATCTTGCCGCACAAACTCTCTCTGTGTCAACTCCAGACCTCGCTGCAAGGACCGCACGTCTCCCAGGACACTGTCCAGGGACACTGGAGTGGATGGCACAGTCGGGATAAGGCCACATGCACACAGTTATATCCTACAGTCCTCCCCAGCTTCCTCCTAACCACATGAGGGGCCCACGGACTGAGACCCCTGCTCCCCCCCCCACCAAGACCCCAGCGCCCCATACCTGAGCCTGCCTTGTCCAAGAAGTGGAGGTCACTGTGAAAGCCCGTGAGCTGTGGGTACTTCTCAGCAATGACCTTCACCAAGTAGTGCAACAATGTCTGCTTCCGGTCAGTCGACTTCATCTCCAACAACTGGACAAGGATCTGTTATAAGCCACGAGCCACCAACCAGACCCCAGACCTCAGACCAGGAGCCCCATCTCACCGCATCCAGACTCTGAAGACGGAAACCATAGGCTGCCCCACGTTTGCTACTGTTCATGTAGTTGCCAAAAGCCAGGACAATCTGGGAAAGGCATAGGAAGTCTCAGTGAGATCCAGGCTAGGGGTGGGGGGGAGGGGAACCCTTGAAGAATATATACTTCTCGGGAAGGAAGAAAGGTGACAAAAAGCTAGCTTTCACACTCAGCCCCTCATGAATGGCCCTTCGGTTCCAATGTACATGCAACCTGTACACGTACATCTCATGTACACGCTATTAATACCAGTAGTACACTCAAATTTTATCCTTCTACCCCGAACTGGCTTGCCACATCCCTTCAATCTCCCGACAGCCATATATTCTTGTCTGCAGACGCTCCACTGGACAGGTGCAGTTACCCAGTTACTCTCACAAAGCAATCCCCAGAGGGACTGAGCCCCGGAGAAGTTCAGCTCAGGTGCATGGTCACAGGCACAGCTGCTATTGCCTTTGCCTGTCCCCACCTCCCACCGTAGCCTATCAGAGCACCCGAGTGAGAAACAAGAAGGTTACCTTTACGTGCAGGGCCTGAGTCTCCCTTTTACTACCTAGACTAGGAAAGGGTAGGCCCTGCTTTCCGGTCCCGCCCTGGGCCCTCACCTCTAGGATCTGACGAAGCTTGTCAGAGGACCTGACAGACATGGAGGCTGCAATGATGGCGTTCAGTTGCTAAGGGTGGGATGAAGACAGGGTGAGCTGAAGCCTCCCCTACGAGGAGGCTCAAATATTCCCAGCCGCCCTCTTGGAAGCTGAGCTCAGAGATGCCCTTCTCCCTGCCCACCAGCCCAGGCTCCACCACACCACCCTGCCCGTCCTGCCCACACCGGCATGAGCAGCTGGGCCGTGTCTGGAAAGTTGCCCAGGAAGGTGAGTGTGTTCATGCGCTCTGGAAGTCTCTGGATGCGGCTGAAGCGGAGCATGAAGCGGTCCTCCTCTGACAGCTCTTCCATCGGCCGCTGTTCCTTCTCGAATCGGGCTATGAGGCTACGCTCGTAGTCTGTGGGCAGGAAGCGGGTCAACAGCTCCAAGAAATCCAGGCTGAGAGTCTGTAGGTCATACCTGCATGAGGAACGGGAGAGTGAGTGTCATTCCACACTTACAAGTTCCAGAGAGCAGGACTCAATAAACAACCTTCAATATTTAGTCTTTGTAGACAGCTTCAGGGAACAAGAGATAGGAGTCAGGGACACCAAAAGCCCCAGACCTGTCATACAACACTAGCAGATATACAGCTCTGAATCCTTTGGCTTGGGCGCCAGTGCTGGGCAGAAGCAGGAAAAGAGAGTCTGGAGGTCTCAGTCAGGGCACGGAATCAAAGTACTGTCTGTTTTCTTGGTCTGAAACTGAGACAATGCTCCCTTTCCAGGACTAGTGTGAGGTTTGGTGGGCTCTGTCCCACTGCTGGGGTTCTTACAACACTGCCTGATGATCCTAGCCTAGTGAGGGGACCCAGTCACACCCCAGCACAGGTACTCACGTCTCAATGGCCTGGCAGATTCTGTCAGCTCCTAGGTTGCCTTTGCGCAGGGTAATGGCCAAATTCTTGGCCCGGTTGGCTTCAATGAGTGTTGCCTTAGTGGGGGCTTTGTGGGCCGCCTTCCCCTTCAGAGCGCTGATATCCAGGCTGGGGCCTTGGGATTTGGTCTTAAACTGCTCCTCAAAGTCAGTCATGTCTAGCTCCTAAGGGCACGAGGAGAGGGAGCCGGGCTGACTGCAGCCGAGATCTGCCTACACTCCTAGGATGTTAATACAGCCATCCCAGAAGTTGAACAGAAAAACCAGTGAGCTAGCTTGACCACAAATCTTGACAGGGGATACAGGAGAGACACAGAAAGATGGGACAGAGATGATGACACAGAGAACCCAGATTCCTGGCTATTAAAGCTGAAGGAAGTGCTGAACAGCCAGCAAAGCAGTAAGAAGAGACTATTCCAGGCAGAGGAAATAGTCCCAGCAACAGCCCATAGGACAGGGAACCCGCTCCAAACTGAAACTGAAGCAGAAGCCCCAGAGCCTTAGTTGTCTGTGGGAAATGAGCAGAAAGGAGAGGTCACACTTGGAGGGCAGAGGAAAGCCTGCGGGAGTCAGGATACTGCCTTCTTCCAAGGCTTGTAGTCAAGCTAGCTCACTGGATTTTCTGTCCAATGGTAGTCTGTGACTTAAAGCCCACACATACCCTGGGTTTCCTCATCTATGAAGCAGATGGCCACCCCCCAGGCCCAGCATGACCCTGGAGCCCTCTGGTGCCCACTCACCTGCAACACCTTTTCATCATTGAGCTCGGTGAAGACAGTGCCTGTGATCTGGTTGGGTTTCAGCGCCACCCAGTTAAGCAATGGCATCCGGAATTTGGTCTGGATGGGTTTTTTGGCTTTCACCCCTGGGAGCAAGAAAGAGTGGTGAGCGTGCAGACACTGGAGGGAACTAACCCAACCAGGCCTAACAAGACAGGCAGGAGGCAGTACAAGACTCTTGGGTAGAGAGAGTCCTGAAGGAGGACACTGAGCGGGAGGGAGGCCCTGGTCTGCTTCCCTGCCAGCCCTAGAGGACTGAGAAAGTTCACTCCACTTACCTGGACCTATATCTGGGCCTTGTCCTCCGAGGATATCAGGGAGCCCTCCCGGAGGTGGTGGGGGTGGCGGTGGCACTGGTCCGTCAGTACCAAGTGGGGGTGGTGGAGGTGGGGGAGGCAGGTCTCCAGGCAACGGCGGTGCAGGTGGTGGCTCTGCGCAGCCTGGGAGGGGCGGGGCCAGCGGGGGTGCAGAGGGAAGGGCTTCCTGCTGGGACTGGAGGTTAGGTAGTGGAGGTGGTGGTGGAGGTGGCGGAGGCGGTGCTGATGCTGCTTCGGGAACTGACTCGGCTGCAGGTGGGAAGTGCCCGTTACTTCTTGCCTGGGGGGTGGGGTGGGGGTTCTTGCCACCTCCCTCTCCTATGCATGCATCCAGAACCCATTTTAACCCACCTGTGTGTAACTGTGCCACGCCTACAATCTAACCTCCTTATCTTTCACAGCCAGGTATAGCCCCAGGATACCCTTCCCTGAACTGGTCTCTTTCCCCCAGCATGAAGCTCCTGCGTACCTGTGTTAGCGGAATCAGTAGACACTCTCGGAGCTGATGCGTCGTCACCGCTTGGTGTCGCCGCAGCTCCTGGGAGGATCTCGATGGAGACGACATCCCCCGGCCCCCGCAGGATACGGATTAACCCCTTTTCCTCAAGCTCCTCCACCTTCAGTTCTAGAGCTGAGGGTCGCACCACAGTAGGGGCAGGCACTTTCTCAGGTTCAGGGATTCTTCTGGAAGTGCCCATGGGGGTCGACTCGCTGAAGCGCTCCTGTGAGCCCCAGGAAAAGGATTTGTGCCTACTTGCAAGCTCCCTGGTATGCCGCAACCCCGCCCCAAACCTTTTCTGGGATGGACTGGGATGTCAAGGGGAGAAGATTCCTTGGGAAGCCTGGCCTGGCGCACACCCCCATCCTGGCCCAGCCCACACCAAAGCTTACCCTCAGGGTCTCCAATTCCTTGCGAGCCTGGCTTAGCTGCTTCTCCAGTTCAGCGATCTTGGCCATGGAGTCGTTCTCTGTGTCCCGAAGCCGCTCTGTCAGCTGTGGCACCAACACATGGTGAGCTAACACCCGCGGCCAGGCACTGGCACCGCCGGTGAGGGGGCGGCATCAGGCAAGCCTGCCTGGAGGGCTGGGGGAGGCTCCCACATCCGCTTGGCCTAGCGTGCCAAGGGTGGGCCGAGCCTGGCACCTTAACCCATATAAATTAGGAGGGGAAAGCGAGGCACTAGTGCGAAGAGAGGTGGTAGAAGAGAAGATTGTGCCGAGAGGCACCACAGGACCCAATTTACTGGAGTCGAGATTCAGAATCTTCTCAGGGAGAAGGTGCCTGCCTTGCGCACAAGTCCCACACAGCGTGGGCGCTCCCTAAAGACTCATTGAGAAAGATACCAAAAGGATGCTGGATTTGGATTGAGGTCTAACTCAGGCAGACTGCCGCTCCCAGTTGTGGACACACCCAGAACTCTGCCTTCCATTCAGTACTTGCTACACAAGAGATGCCCACCCCAGGGCAGCCTTCCCGTGGGCCTACTGTGTGACAGCCTAGGTTTCGAGCAGCTCTCACCGTTGCCACCTGCTCCTGCAGCTCCTCCATGTGCTCCAGCACTGCATTCTTTGTCTCTGTCTCCTCCAACAGTGTTCCCACATCAAAAACGTTGTCCAGGTATGCCTGGATCTGCACCTGCAGCTTGTCACTCTCGGTGAGCCGGAGCCTCTGTCCCGAGAGAGCCGGAGTGCGGTGAGGTCTGAGGTGGTGGTGGGGAGGTCTATCCAACCACCACCACTTCCCAGAGGAAGGTACTTGGGCTCTAGTTTGATTTTGATTTTTACTGATATAATTCACGTACCACACAATTCACTATTTTAAGGTGTGTTACCGCTTTCCTAGAAGCTCAGTACCCAAGAAGGAAACCTTATACCATTTAGGTTCCTTTCCTAGTATCTGCCCTCAGCTCCTGGCTGCTATGAATTTTACTTCCTCCCGCGACGGATCATTCTGTCCATTTCTTTCTATA